CCTACTGTGAGACTCTCAAGACTCTCATTCCGGAGCAAGGAGGATTGAAAGTCGAGAATCGGATTCCCCAAAACTCCGATAGGGGTTCTGGTGTCCCTGCCTTGAGCCCCAAGGCTGAGCATCCGGGGACTCAGCTACGGGTTGCTGAAGACGCAAAGTAACTATGTATCCCGTCCGCCGTCCCGCGCGGGACATCTGACTCGTCTGCGGCTTGGCAGATCGTCTTGAAAGATCACCAGCATCTTTGTAGACTCGCATGCGTGTGTGACCTGGAAATAGCACCTTAGAGATCGCCTGGTAGCTTGGGATGCCGGCGCAGCTCACCTTGGCATCGTCAAGACGGAGCTTGCATGTTGAATTCCCATTAGCTTTTGTAGTATAATAGTATCGACATCACTTCATGGCTCTCAAGCATTTCTTCGTTGAATCAAGTCACATAAGTCTCACCTGATTCTTTTCATACAAACACCCAAAAGCTAGACATTACAAGGCAGCGAACACGATGACGAAGACAACGGCCAGAACGGCCAGAGTGATTCTCTTGCTCGTTCTCCTCATCCTTTTTGGAGGCGCCGCGACCGGCCTCACATTTGCGCCATGTTATGCCACGCTTTGCCCGGAAGACTTCTTAGCTTTCGAGTCGAGAATCCATATTGCGATATTCTACGGCATGCTCGGCGCCGTCAGCCTGCTTCTTCTACTGGGCTCATCATTTCGATCCGTGGAGAGATGTAGCAACCTCACTCTGATCTCTGCTCTCCCTCTAGTTCACAAAAGAGTTACTCTAGGTGGACTCATAGTTGTCGTTTGGATTGCCTGCGTCACAATGGCGACCACAGCAATGTGGCTGCCTGCGCACTGGCGATACTGGGGAGAGCGTACGGATCCGCTCAACTGGATGTCGGCCAAGATCGCCCTTACCGTCACGGGAGTCACTGGTCATTATGCCGACATACTCCTCGGCTTGTCCATCGTCCCGGTCTCGAGAAACAGTCTCCTCGGTCATGCTTTTGGGGTTCATCAGAGCACACTGCTATACGCGCACAAACTCGCCACGTACATGTGCACCCTTGCAGTCCTTGCCCACGGTGTAGGCTACGGTGTAAGTCCCACTCCTCCTGATACATCTTGTCATCACATCCCCTAACATACGATCAGATCTTCGCCTTGGATCCTAGCAAAGACGAAGATGAAGCAAAGCTGCAGCTGTTCAGCAACGGCAACCCGACAATGACCGAGCTAGAGAGCCAGGAACGGAGCGCGTGGTACCTAACGGTGACATACACGGGCGTGGGCACCTTCGTCTGCATGCTCATGATCGTCGCCACCGCGCTGCCCAGGATCCGGCGGCTGCACTACAACACCTTCTACAACGCCCACATCGTCTGCAGCATCGCCACGTTCGTCGGCGCGAGCATCCACGCCAGCTCGGACTTTTACCTCCTGCTCCCGGGGCTCTCTCTCTGGGTAGCCGACTGGGCCTGGCGGCTCTTCCGCGGGGAGGGCGGGTCGCTGCGCAAGCAAGTTGCCATCTTGGAGAACGCCGGCAGCGGTTGGTACCGCGTCTCGCTCGGGGCGCGGGCCAAGTTCGAGCTTGAATCGGCGTCGGAGGCGGAGAGCTCTGCGCCGGCGGCGGGGTGGCCGCTGTCTCTGTACTATCTGAGTGTACCGTCGGTCAGCAGGCTGCAGAGCCACGCGTTCACGGCCGCGGTGTCGAGCACCTCGCGGTCCGGACCGGTGTTCCTGTTCCGACGGTCGCAGGGCAAGAAGTCGCGGAAGGCGTCGGAAAAGGAGTGGACCTGGGCGATGGGCTCTCTGGTCGGCAGCGTCGGGCTCCAGCGGCAGCTCGATGTTCGGGTCGAGGGGCCGTATCAACCCACAGATACGGGGTTTGAGTCGGCTTCTCACATTATTTGCATCGTCGGCGGGACAGGCATCACTGGAGCGCATAGTCTTGCCCTCTGGTGGCTGAAGGCGAGGAGCACGGCAGGAGATACCAAGTTCAGTCTCGTGTGGACCGTACGCGAGCGCGAGTCTGTCAACGTTCAAGAATGGTTTGACCTCGTGAAGGCAGCGGAGTCTCAGACGAACATGACGGTCTCAGCGCATGTCAGCGCGGAGATGGGACGGCTGGATCCGCAAGCGTTTATCCACCAGGGCCTTGGCCTGGGAATGGCGACTGACGGACGTGAGAAGGGGGCAGTGTCTACTGGGACAGCTTGGGTGTACAGCTCTGGGCCTGGAGGCCTTCTCCAGGCTACTCAAAAAGCGTGCCAAGCTACAGACAAGGATATTCGTAGATTGGTCAGAGATCAGGCTCCTGTTTCTGTGAAGGACGTCAGTTGGTACATTGCCAAGTGGGAGGTTTAGGCCAGAGGCGCTGGCAGAATAGTTTTGCGGCAAGAATGGCATAGACACTGAGGGAGACCATTTTGATACAATATTTCCGACGAAAATAGGGAACCTTCGTAAAATAATCTATGTAGCAAGCAGAACGTGTAGCTCATCTATGGTTATTCGTCATTCGGGGTTCCATTAAGAGGGCTCTCGGGCCGTGGTGGGGCACTCACTCCGTGTCTCCAACATCGGCACCCTCCTTCGGCCCGAGCTGCCTAAACTGTTAGTAAACGACCCTCATCGTCTTGTCATGCCTAGTAAGGTCCAAGTGATTCAATCGGTCTGAAGCAAATGTAACTACGTCTTTCAGTCACAAACGCAAACATAAGCTTGCCGAAATATGGCTGTTGCTGCCAGGTAGTTTGCCGGCCCGAGACCTCGACTGAAGAAAGACCACTCACCTTGCCTCAGATCACAAAGCGACTGCGTGAAGACTTGCAAATGTTGGACATACGACCAACTTCAAACAACATCTGCCATACACTATGCTTTCTACCGTGAGGCGTGCTTCCGCTCCTCCACTACGGCGCTCCTTGGGGACCACCAGACACGGAAGCCGCAATGCATCAACATCTACACGGCCACCTACATGGTGGAGGCAGATAAGATCGTCAGCACCAGACAAGAACATCATCAGACTCATAAGTGGAGGTGCTGGCGTGGGAATCATTGGGTTGATGTTGGCGGGGCGGGCTGATTCAACGTCAACGGATGATCCTCGAGACTTGAGAGCGCTATCTACGGTGCCCTTAAGTAAGCTCTTCTCAGGATGGATGTAAGCTGTTCACTTTAGAAGGAGGCCTCTTCTTTGCGAGAACGAAAACCGAGCTGACCACATGAATCAGTGCGTTCGCATTTTGCTCCTGGCCAGGTTGGGTCAATGCAAGCGAGTCTCTCTACAGCGTCATGTCCAAGATACCCATTGTCTCCTCAATCACTCACACATTCGTCATGGGCACCTTCTTCAACCAGTTTCTCGGCGGAGAAACGACTGAGGAGTGTATTCCAAAGATCAAGGCACTTCGCCAAGAAAACATCGGCACTCTGCTCGGCTACAACATCGAAGCTGAGCTGGACGGCTCCAGCAAGGATACCGACCTGATCCTCGCCCAGACCCAGCATGTGTTCTCCTCCATCGAGGCGCAGGGGAGACTCGCCAGGGAGTTTTGGCCAGACACCGCCGCCACCGGAGGCGACAACAGATGTTGGGTCAGAATCAAGATCACCGGCCTTTTACCTCATCCTATTGCGCTGTACAACGGTTCTAAGGCAATTTTGGCTGCGAGAGGCGCAAGATGTTTGGATGAGGATGTACCGTATCCAGGTCTGCCCCACGACGGCGACTGGGACGCCGCTCTAAATGGCCAAGGCGTCACTCAAACTGACCGTGACCAGCTCCTCAGGCTCCGGGCCACCATGGAGGCCATCGCGGGCAAGGCACGAGATAACAACGTGCGCATCGTCATTGACGCGGAGCAGACCTGGTACCAGCCAGTCATTGATGCTCTCACGGACGAGCTGATGCAGAAATACAATGCCTTGGACGGCGGTCCAGCGACCTGTATCGCCTCGTTCCAAGCCTACCTGCGACGCTACCCGCAACTTCTTGACCAACAGATCCATCGCGCGGAGGAGAAGGGTTACAAGCTGCTCTTCAAGCAGGTAAGAGGGGCGTACATGGTGACCGAGGCAGAGAGATGGGAGAAGGAGGGTCACAAAGGGCCGGGTCCGGTATGGTCAACCAAGGAAGAGACAGATGCGAGCTACAACTACGGCATTGAGAAGGCGCTCTCGACTATTGGGGAACAAGCGCGCCAGACAGGGGCTTCTAGATTAGGGGCGGTCTTTGCCACGCACAACTCCATCAGCGTCGATCTCGGGATCCGATTGCTGGAGAATTACGGGCTGGCCAAGCGGCAGGAAGAGAGTGGGAAGCTCCTGCTTTCGAAGGAGGCAGCGGGAAGCATTGCTTTTGCTCAGTTATACGGTGACGATCAGAATCTCGAGAGTTGTTGAAGCAGCTGACTGACTTCTTTTTAGGAATGAAGGACGACCTCACGAATAAGATCACTGGATCTATTGAAGCGCCAGGAGGCTTCGCGCTGGTTGTCAAAGTGAGTCTTGATCTTTCAACCCATTACCCGCAAACTAACACAGTGATAAGTCCATGAGCTATGGCGACCTGCGCGAGTGTCTGCCCTTTCTCGCCAGGAGAGCGACGGAAAATAAGGCAGTTCTTGAGGGTAGAGGTGGTGCAGTGGCTGAGCGAATTCGACTCGGCCGTGAGATTCGCAGGCGACTTACTCCCCTGAATTAGCCCAGGGGCTGTCGCTCAGTTGGCTTTCCCATGGTATCAGAATAGACATTGACTTTCACTTTCACATACGATTGGGACAGATGGTTGTGCGTTGAAACCGGCAACTATATTCACAGAACCAGAGGCTTACAAGCCCCTGATGCCTTTGAAAGTATTTACATGAATTGTGTACTTCTCAGTACTCTGCAACCGCGGGCGGCCGGAAGAAAAAAAGCCGCCACGACGGAAGGCAGCAATAGCGCTCTTCTCATTACCCACTGCAGGGTTTCTTCTCTTACTAGACCACTTAGAAGGTGAGGGTCTGGCCAGCGGTGCCGACAACGGCAGCCTTGACCTTGGAGGAGCCGAGGAGGGTGTAGCTGTAGTCGGGCTTGGTGAAGGTGCCCTTGGGGGCGTCGTTGGTGGAGCCACCGAGGTCGACGTCGTTGACGACAGCGTAGCCAGTGGTCTTGGAGTCGAGGAAGGTGACGGCCCTCTTGGTGTCGGAGAAGACGGAGGACTCGATGAGGAGCTGGGCGCCCATGCGGGTGTTGACACCAGAGGTCTCGAGCTTCTCGGCGTAGTTGTTGAAGATGTGGACGTTACCGAAGCGGACGGAGGGGTTGCGGGAGCCGACGTTGGACCAGTGGTTGTTGGCGTAGGTGACGTAGAGCTTGCCGGTGTCCTCAGCAGAGTTGGAGTCGGAGTGACCGACGAGGGAGCCCTTGTAGTGGTCGTGGATGTAGGTGTTGGAGACGGTCACGGCCATGGAGGCGTGGGTGATGTCGAGCAGACCATCGTAGTAGTCCTTGCCGTTGTCCTTGTCGGAGGACAGGTCGCAGTGGTCAACCCAGACCTTGGATGAGGCCTGGATGCCGATGGCGTCACCGTTGTCGGCGAGGACCTTGGAGATCTTCATGTTGCGGATGATGACGTTCTCCTGCTTGTTGATGTACAGACCGACACCGGTCAGGGAGGAGCCAGCAGCACCGATGATGGACTTGTTGGAGGTGACCTTGACCTTGGTGGCACCGGAAATGGCGCCCTTGACGACGATGACGGCCTTGTCGTCAGAGGTGGCGGCAGCGGTGAACTGGGCCAGGGTGGAGACGGTGGTGGTGGTACCGCCGGAGCCACCGGTGGTGCCGGCACCGTAGCCAACATCGCAAGCGTCGGTGATGGCAGCACGCTTGCCGACGGTGCGGGGGTCGACGGCGGCGCCGTCACGGACGGTAGGGGTGGGGGTGGCGCTGGCAACGGAAGCCAGGAGGGCCAGGGAAGAGGCGATGCCGGAGAACTTCATCTTGACTGTTTCGAGCTTGGTGGTGTTGGCTGATTTGTGGTAGGTGGTTTTCGTAAGAAAAAAGAGTGTGTTGACGGTCTACGTCGAACGAAGGTATGCAGTGAGGGTTGTTTGAGGTAGGGAATGAATGCAAAGAGCGCGAGAGCTGAAAGACTGAAGAAGTGAAGCGGGATGGAGAGCAAGAGAAGGACTGGTATGAAGTCGGATGGGACGAGGCTCTTAAGTATTTCTCGCCATCAACACGCAAGGGAGCTCTTGGCTAAGCTTCTCGTGCCAAGAGCCAAGACCTCTTCTGTAGAAGCTTGGGTACACACACCCGCTCTCTTTCTCTGCAGCGAAGGGAGGGCGTCTGCTTGGCCAGCGGCTTGCTTGCGTACGCGTGCTCTCCTTGGGTCTTGGCCCAGGATCATGGTGGTGCCAAGCGGAACCATACCGAGAGGAGGCTCTTTGGGGCCATTTGCGCAAATGCAACGCTATCTTGGCACTTGCGTACGTCTTGGGCCTGGACAGGGCGGGCAAATGATGGTGATCCTTGACGGGGAAGGGATTCGAAGGGGATGCCAAGACAGACTTGCACGTCACATTGAGATGATGGCGGTACACGACATGGCGTCACGGTGAGAAGAATGGGTTGTGCATGCACCCAGGCACCATGGAAGGCGGAGGTTGTGAAGGGAAAGGATGTGCTTGTGAATGGCACGGTGGGAACGAAGCGGTTCCCGGGCCCCGATCTGGCTGAATCGCACGAATGAGGAGGCGGGCTCGGGATGGAGTGGACGGGCATGTGGTACGAGGGAGTGGTGGTTCGTTTGTTTAGGGGAAACGAGGCCAGGAGGTGTTTGTCGATATTGATCAGGCAGGCTAAGCCAGTAAGAGCGAGTTGACGTTTGGAAACGGACCAGGGGGGGGGGATGATGGAAGTGGGTGCGAAATGAAGTCAGGGGATGAGTGATGGGATGGCACAGAGACATGGGGTTTCTTACCCACCCCAAAGAACGGCCGCATGGGTTCGAGATGGGCTGAGCAAGGGTCTCTTTTGACGAAGAAGGTTTTTTTTTCTGCTCACTGTCAAGCGGCAATAGGGGGCGGCTCGGGGAAAGGCCCAGCACCATGGGTGGAGGTATCATGGATTCATGACGGCGACTGGAGCCTCACGACTCACATCGGATGAAGGCGAATTCGCTAGCCGAAAGGCCTCCCCGGGCCCCTGGGCTGTTCTAGACGACAGGGCGTTATTAGCAGCGAGCCAATAGTGCAAATATTGTGCGGGCTGGAAGACCGAGAAGGGGAACAAAGCCATATTGCATTATTGCGTACTTGGGCCGAAAACCAACTCGACTTCACCGGGGTTCTCAAGGCGACTCGCTCCCACTTACCGCGGGGTCCAACACCAGAGTGTCCGTACACTGGTAGCGTAGTGTATCCGTACAGAAATAGCTGTCGGTTACCAATATCGAGTGCTACGCCGTCGTCTAACTGGACCTGGGGCTCCAGTCTAGCAGAATCGGGAAGCTGGGTCTCCTGGTCGTGGCCGTTTGCGTTGGTGGCCGTCCCTGTTCGGAGGAGGTTCCGGGCGATGGTCCGGGGTGGAACGGTCGAGGGTCGGGGGCCAGGGCACCGAACGGGAATGGACGGGTGGGGCCCATGCTCCCGGCGTATATTAAATTTAAAATCAGGTAGAGTTGTGGGGGCAAGGATCTGTCTCGGATAAGGTATTTTCTCCGTCACTAACATGGACTTGTGGCGAGTCGTGCTGCCTTTGGTACCCTTTCTCTGTACTGCCAGCGAATAGACGCTGCCCTTTGAGCGCATTGCGCTGCTTTCATTGCTGTGATTTCTCTAGTCCGAGAGATGTGGGCATCTTGCTTCCTTCTCCGTGGAGATTCAGCTTCAGGTTGTCGCACCAGTATGCGCCTCGATGCGGGATTGATTGCAGATGTCACCCGCGCACCACCACCACCGCCGCCCAGATGTCAGCCAACACGCCAACACGCCAACACTCTCGGCGGCTACGGTACACGAGTACATACACGAGTGTACTCGGGTGTCTGCTTCTCCTTTTGTCTGCCCAAGCCTCTGCATGCAGCGGCCGACGACGACGACGAAATCGTGGAGTCGAGGTGGAGACTTACGGGATTTCAGGAGAATTTTCACACATTCTCCGCCTGCGCCAACTCGGTGAAAATAGGTCCCAAAAGAAATTCATCAACTGCCGGACCTAACGACCCTTCTTTCTGGGTGCACACTAACGAGCATTTGGACGACAGGTGCTGTATCCGTATCGGGGAGCACGGAGCCTGCCTCCGCAGCCCCGGCTCCGATACTTTTCGCTCCCAGCTGAGGAGCTGTCAATTGAGTTCAGGACCTTGCTCCGCATGTCAGGTACCTGGCGCTGTGTATATTGTATATGTCTCTGCTCGGCTGTTTCCCAGGTACCTCTCCTCGCCCGACCGACCTCGGTCTCCTTTACCGCGTGGACTCCGCGGAAGGCAAAGACACTGCTCATTGGCGGCGTTACACGAAATATTGGCCATGAATTTGCAGGGTCGGAAATTAGGAGGCGAATCGCATATTGTCAGGCACGACGCGACCGCCATTTGGTACCAACAACCAGCGCAGTCTCGAAACTCGAATTCACTTGGCGGGAGAAGGGTACTTGGCAGGCTGGCAGGTTGGGCAACATTTGGCACCACCCTCTTTCTCTTGGTTAATATGGAAGCCGGCACATTAAGGTCTTGTCCTTTGTCTTTTTCCCTGCGTCTTGTTTCTGGGGAAGAGGAAGCATGTCATCCCATTGCCGGCGCCTACCATAGCTTAATCCCGTAGCGCTCAACCTTGATGATCTTAGGACGCTCGTTAATGTTGTAACAGAACGTCTCGCCACGAGTAGAAGGTTTTTTTTGTCGTCGGTACGTATCCGAGAGATGTTCCCTGACGGCGGTCCTCCTTACGACGGGAGAGCGCCCATATGATGTCCTCTCCCTCGGTCTCAGCCCACCCACACACTTCCAAGTTCGATACCTCACTCCACTATCCAGGGGAACATTGGACGGCCGACGTGATCTGATTATGCTCGGTTGCCTCCTTGGCTCTTCTTTTGGGGATATTGGCGAACACACATGACCACGTCCGCAGACTCCGTACGTGTAGAGCGAGCAAATTTGCCCACCAATCCCTACAACTGTCGGACATTTCTCAATCGCCGAGGTATTCTTTGCAGAAGAAGCTTGGTTTGTGTGTGATTCATGAAACATCCAAATTGTGCATCTGGCGACTAAGCTAAGGTAATGGAACGTGCCCCTCTTAATTATTTTTCATTATCATATTATGCCCCCAACCAGTTCATATCCGTTTCCATGCGCCGCCCTGCACAAACATGCTCTAGCCGCCGTGCTACACGTGTACAACGCATTGCCATTCGGCGGAAAAACTAACGTGCGCAATTAACCTCACGCTCCCGTCGGCTCCTACAGTGCTCTACCACTGGACCCCACATCCACGACACACCACACCCTCTCGTTCTGAGCCCCAAAATGCAGTGATACCATCGCCAACTCTTGCATCCTTCAACACTGACGTTCTGGTTGCTTTTCAACGACTGTCGTTGAATGATCGAGGTGCCAAGCCTCAATGCCAAGACGGATATCTCGGTGGGCTGGGCGGTTTCGAGCCACCCTGGGTTCCCAAGGGCCAAGACACGTTCGAGCTGATCAGTTCTTGGCCCTCTTTTGACAGCCCAGCGTGCCAATCCTGCTGTGTAGATTGTGAAGGGGACAAAGGAGAAAAAAAAAAAAAAAAAGGCTGGGCCACGAGGTCCCGCCAAGCCATCCAAGGATCCTCCCGAATGGCAGGCTGCACGTTCCTGGGCGCCAAGGAACCAGCAACACCAACCCATCCCCAACGGGCGCCACCCTTTTGCAATAATTTTGGAATATTGGAGATTGAGATCACGAACCTCAAGGATGACGGGGCCTGGCTGCGACACTCGGGTCTCCACCAGAGGGCGGAATTCGAAATCCAGGAACGGCGGGCAGACATGGACACGCCGGTGGCGGAGGGCGCCATGCGTATGTGGGATGCGGCCAGCGGGCAGATGGTCTCCCCGGGGACTCGTCATCGTCCACATCTCGTTTTCGCCATTGTTGACGGGTGGGAAATTTGTCGACGCCCGTCGTTGATGCAGGTTTGCCTGACTTCCTCTCCTCACCGCTGCTCACAACTTGTTCTCGTGACGGCCGATCACAGCCTCAAAGAAGCAAGCTTGCCGCAGGGTTCCTGTTAGAGAAACCGTGGCTGTAAGTTGTCACTCGGTGTCGAGATGCGTCCAATATTCTCCACAGGCCGAATGAAATTACTTCGTCTAGTTCATGCATCCCGTCGCCGCAGCGGCGGCAGCGTCGCTCATCTCGCCGGAATCTCTCCCTCCGGCGCACCACGCGGCTTCGGTTTCTCCGCATCGGTGTCGGTCATCGTCCACGAGGTCTCCTGCCCGCCCGCGACGCTGTCGTCCCCGGCACCACCACCACTCGGCACGTCGATGAACCGAGACTGGCGAGCCTCCTCCTCGATCTGCGCGCGCTCCTCCATGGTCAGGTCGCTCTTCGCCTGCCCGATCTGGACGAACGTGTACAGCGCCAGCGCGACGCCCGCGACGCCGACGGCCAGCCAGAAGGCCGTCTTGTAGCTCTGCTTCGTGCCCAGGTGGCTCGTCTGGCCGACGGCGACGTCGCCGATGCCGAGGAAGAAGGAGATGCCGAGGAACAGCAGGCTGTTGATGAGCGCGCCCGCCGTGCCCTGCCTGTACGCGGGCAGGTTCGTCGTGATGAAGACGTTGCTGACGGTGTAGGTGATGTCGATGCCGATGGTGCCGCAGATCATGGACGGGAAGACGTAGGCCCAGTAGTTGGGGTTGTCGGGCATGATGGCGAAGAGCAGCACGCTGAGCAGGTTGCCCGTGCCCGAGATGGCGAGCAGCACGCGGCCCGGCAGGAGGTGCAGCG